TAGCGTGATGCAGGCCGCAGTTGCGGACCCACAGGAAGTCCAGAGGGAAGTTGTTTTTCCAAGCGGCTCCCGCGCGGGCAGGAGATGAGGCAAAACCGCAGTTGCGGTCTTCCTGCTGCTGTGAAAATAATCCTTTCACAGTCCCTTGCAATCGTCGCCCTCCTTCTGCTTCTCCGCCAGTCCATTTGTTGTTCTTTCGGTTCCTTTGAGTCCTCGCCCTCCTTCTGCCACTCCTCGAATCCTCTTTGTCTCCTCCCTCCATCCGACCCCATGCCCATTCACGATCCATTTCCGTAGCCACCGTGGCTCGAGGTGGCGCACGCGAAGACGCAAGCATGTGGCCGCCCGCGCGCCCGAGCGCATCCTCAGGGAGTATGGACCGTGGACTTCGATTCGCCAGAACGGTGTTCATCCACAACGCTGAGGAGGAGGAGGGAGGCAAAGACGAGGAAGCCGCAGTTGCGGATGATGACGACGACCAGCGGACGCAAGATGGCGACAGCACCGTCGCGTCCTCGGCTGCCTCCGCTGACGAGGCTGAGTCCCGGGGAGGTGCGGGAGCCGCAGTTGCGGCAGCACATGACTCCTACATGCCGAGAGTGTTGTCGTCGCGGAGAACCTGGAAACGGGTGCCCATCATCGAGACAAGCAATCTGTCGGAAAAACAAAGAGCTCTTGTCGACGCATGGGAGGAGAAAACGGAGTTCGAAGCGGGACGGGTCGGCTTCTACGTGGCCAACTTCGGAGGGACTGCAGCTAGACCCACGCAACGCGCGGACGAGTGGGCGCAGCTCCGCGCGAACCCTGCCCAGATCATCGCCCTCTGCGAGTGCGACGACGAGACCTGCGCGGTACTCAGTGGGGAGCACGACGCGAGGGACAGTGCAGCCGCAGTTGCGGACGATAGGTTTCGGAGTCGGACTCAATACAACTACCTGTGCGTTAAGGGCGGCGAGCCATCAGGGACCCTCCTTGTTGGCATGAGGGACCGCAGTGGCGGCCACATTGAACACGTAGACTTTGCGAGACTCTTCCACAAGCAGGAGAAGTCCAAAACGAAGAAGAAGAAGAAACAGTCCGCAGTTGCGGAGGCTCCTGCGCCAAAGCTGCACAACAAGTACTCCAGGGCGATGGTGGTGCGCGTCCACCTGGACCAGGCCGTGCCCCATTTGGGGGGCTCCTTCAACGTCATGGCGGTGCACGTCCACCACAGCTTGGCCAACCAAGACTGGGGCGTCACGAAGCTCCATGAGTTCTACAACTGGTTCGTCGCCTACGTCAGGGAATGGGACGTGAAGGTCTGCATGGGGGACTTCAACATGTGCATGTTCCAGCTTGTGTCCTGGTGCCGCAATTGCGGCCTGACTGTGGACGTCGCCGCGTGGACCCCCTGGAAGACAGCAGGCGGCCAGCCCAGGGCAGACAGCATGGCGATTTTGTTCATAAACTGTCCTGGGCAGTACAAGCTTCACCATGGCCTGAGTGTTCTGCACGACCGTGAGGGCGGATTCTTGACGACCCAGCATGATCCGTCTTTCCCTGTCTTCGACTACACGAATGGCCCTGGGAAGATGCTTCAGACTTACGTGCCCAAGGCTGAGCCCGTTGAAAACAAGATGCGCGCCTTCCTGACGCCATCTGGCGAATCCTTGACCGCAGATGCGGAGTTCGAGCAAAGGATGGCGCGCAGGGAACGCGACGATTGGGTGCGCTATCCCTTCAGAGTGAAGCAGGGCAACCTCGACGACAAGATATGGCATGGCGCCTTCGGCAGGGCGAGGCACGGAGCGCACTTCCCTCTGGTGGCTTTCACGCACAATACGTGCCGCAGGTCACCTGAAAGACTCGCCGCGAGGTTGGAACGCAGGAAGGGCGGCAGGAAGGGCGGCAAGAAGGGCGGCAAGAAGGGCAGCTACGCGGACACCGCAGTTGCGGGGAAGGGCGTCCGACCCCAGATGGGAACCGCAGTTGCGGGGAGAGACGCTGGGGCTGAGCGAGCTGGGAACACGCCACCGCCGCAAGCTGCCAACGGCGACGATGCGACCCCTTCTTGTGCCGCAGTGGCGGCTGGGTCCTGGGACGCCAGCGGCAGCGGCGCATGGGAGGCGCGCAGTCCCGCCACGAGATGGCAGGGCTGGTCCTGGTGGGACTGGAGCTCGAGCGAATGGGGCGCTGATGGCGCGCAGTGGTGGCCCTCTGATCATGCCGCAGTTGCGGACAATGCCCCTGAGGGCTCGCCTCCTCAGCGTGAAGTCGAGTGGGGCTCGAGCGGGCGACCTGCCGAGCGCCCTCCGTGGAGCTTCGAGGCGCAGCGTTGGTGATGGCCGCAGTTGCGGGCAAGTGGAGCATGATGTTGATTGCCGCAGTTGCGGACAGTGCACGCTGGAAAAATCATCATCATCATCAATCATAATCATCATCATATCATCATATCATACGTTCAAAGCAGTGCCGGGGCACTGCTTTGAACGCGTTCAAAGCAGTGCCGGGGCACTGCTTTCGATCGTCGCCTCGTCGCCGTTATAAGGGCTTTCGGATTACTCCCGAGTAAGACAGCTCACCGATGGGCTCAATTTGGCCTAGCCCTGCTCAGTGGCCCCCCTGATCTGGCTCGGGAGATTGTCTTTAATCGCTCTTACGAAGAACTCCGAGGAGTTGTTTCCTGACGTGTCGAATGCCTCCCGCCGCGATTTCCCCACGGCATTGCACCTCGGGCAGGGGGGCGCCGAGGACCTCGCAGCGGCAGGCAATCAATGGTGCAAGAGTCTTCCCGTGCCAGGGAGTGGGCTCCTGCCCTGCAGCCAATCGTCTGGGGGGCAGAAGAGGAAAACGCTTCCTCCGATCAAGGTCTCCTCCTCCTCCTCCTCTTCCTCCTTCTCCTCCTCCTCCTCCTCCTCCTCCTCCTCCTGGCGAGTTGTTCCGTGGCCGAGGCTCGCCGTGGCCAGCAGAAAACCTTCGGCCTCCTCTTTCGGCATGCCTTGTCTTGTGGTAGTACGACGACTGCATGCTCTCCCCCCACGAGGAGGACGAGGAGGAGGAGGAGGAAGAAGAAGAAGAAGAAGATGAAGATGAAGATGAAGATTAAGATGAAAAAGAAGAAGAATAATAAGAAGAAGAAGATGAGGAGGAAGAGGAGGAGGAGGAGCAGGAGGAGGAGGAGGAAGAGGAGGAGGAGGAGGAGGAGGAGGAGGAGGAGGAGGAGGAGGAGGAGAGGAGGAGGAGAGCAGGAGCAGGAGGAGGAGGAGGAGGGAGGGAGGAGGAGGAGGAGGAGGAGGAGGAGGAGGAGGACCCAGTGGGGATGGTGTCGGTGTCGGGGCTTCTCCCGAGGAAGAACAAGAAAAACTGCATACGCAGAAACTGTCGGAGTTCCGAGAAGATTGCTTGGATCGGCGCCGGGCCCTCGCGGCGCCTCCGGCGGCGCCCGTGGCGCGTTTCGCGCGCCAGGGAGGGCGGTCCAGCACCGATCCAGGAAATCCGCGCGGAGCTCCGAAAGTTGATGTTTATGCAGTTGCTTGTTCCGGTATTCTCGGGGTGACGTCTTTCCACCGCTGCGGAGGGAGCCCGCCGTGCATCTTTGGCGAGCAATGGCGGCGAACGCGCGGCGAACGTGCCCGCCGCCCAGAGCGATGGCACTGTTTTGAGAACGGGCCGCCCTCCATCTTCGAAGAAGGACAAACGGTATAGATATAAATGTTCGGCGTTCCGCGCGGATTTCTCGGTCGGCGTGGTACCCCCTTTGGCGGCGCCTCCGCCGCAGCCCCTGGCGCGTTTCGCACGCCAGGGAAGGGGGGTCCAGAGCGAATCCAAGGAATCCGCGCGGACCTCCAAAAGTTTATGTGTGTGCCGTTCTTTCTTCCTCCACATCCGCGTACGAGTTGGAGGTTCTGAGGCGAATGCGCGCAGCACCGAAGGTAAAATCCACACGTAAAGCACATGCCTTCCTCGATCGGCGTCACGCGCAAGAAGTCTCAGGCGTAACGCCCCGTCCTAGACATCTGGTCGTGTGTGGTACGCGGAGGCGAGGCTGAGTTTTTTGTATAAGCACATGGGATCGGGGTAGGAGGAGGAGGAGGAGGGGGAGGAGGAGGACGTAGAATATCGAGGCATCCCCACCTCGACTCTACGCCGCACTCCGCGCCCTCCTCCCTACCGCGCGACATGATTGCCCCTCCGTGCGTGCGCCCAGGCAGAGTGCGCCTGCGCCCGCGCGTGCGCCTGGCCGCGCGATCCGCAGGTCCGGCGAGATGCGCACATGCAAGAGAGCAGCAGAGCACAGGATGGCGGCAGTGAGTCGGGCCGGACGAAAGGGGAGGATTGGGAAAGGGGGGGTGACGAAATTTGCTGCATGCAGCTGGTTTCGGCCTCACCGGGGGGCCCATTCCTCGATACGTTGCCGCCTCTGGCGCCGGGAGGCGCCGGGAAAATCCGCTGCGTGAGCTGATTATCACCCCCCCCCCCTTGCTATCCCCCCCTTTCGCCCGACCCGAGTGAGGTTCGAGGATCGAGGTTCTTCTCCTCCGGCGGCCAGCCCACGGGCAGTGAGGAGGGGCGGGCCGCCTTCGGAGGCTCGGGAGGCCTTCGGCCTGCCGAGAAGTTGGCTCGGGCCATCCGCCCAAGGCACAGGGGACTGCTCAGAAGGCGCGGCGGGCTTCTGAGAAGCCCCGCCGCCTTTGACGAGGCCTCCTCCTTCTCACTTTCCCCCCTCGCTCGCCGCCGCCTCCTCCTTGTCCTCCTCCTCCCCTTCCTCCGCCGCCGCCGCCGCCGCCGCCTCCTCCTCCTCCTCCTCCTCCTCCTCCTCCTCCGCCTCCCAACGACTCCGGGTCAGGATCTGACGAAAACGCCCTCCCACTTGCGGTGTTCGTGGGTTGCTTGTGGCCGTCGATGGCGAAGCCCCTCGGAGGCGCACGGCCGCGGCGGCAGCTGTCGCGGCGGCGACGCCGGTGCGCGGGGAGCGGGGCGCCTTGCGGGGCAGCGGCGCCCTCTCGCGCCTATCCGCGGAGGTGGTCCACGAGGTCTTCTTCGGGTCAGAGCGATGCGAGGCCACCCGAGCGCCCCCCCTTGCTCGTCCTTCCCACAGAGGGAGGAAAGGGCAAGCGAGAGCACACAACAATACGTCACTGTTGACGGGGAAGGAGAGCGAGGGAATGAACACACGCACAGGGTATATATATATGTAATGTGTGTGCGTATGTTTATGTGTATATATATGTATGTCTATATATGTATACATATATATATATATGTTGTGAGATGATCCGCATCGTCTTAGCTTCGCGCGGCTTCGATGCTTGGCAGGTTGAGAGATGGTGCACGGTCCGCCGACCTGAGTCGGGATCCCATATCTGTTTCTCCCCTTCTCTGTCTCTCCGCACCCGTTGGGGTTCGGAGGCTTGAGGCGCCGGCGCGGGCGCCCGCGGCGGAAGGCAGGGGCCGTCTGGATCGCGGGGCTGCAGGCGGTGGGGCAGGTCACTCTGTCCTGCTTCCTGCGGTGCCCTGCGGCCCCGGGCCTGCCCAGGGCTGGGCCTGCCCAGCCTCGGTCCCTTGCCCGCAGCCAGCGGCGTGCCCGCCCTGCCCCGCGCAGCCAGCGACCAGCCAGTGTCCCGCGGCGGAGGCGGGGGGCCCACAGCGTTCTGAGCCCCAGTGCGCTGGCGCTCGTCCTGCTCGGGCTGCTCGCCGGCGCCGGCGTCCCCGGGGGTCTCGCGCTGGTCGTGGCGGGTGCTGGGAGGCTGAGGCTCGAGGCGTCACATAGAAGGCGAGTGAGCATGTCGGACAGGGGGGAGACCCGTCTGACAGCTTCGGTTCGTGATCGAGTCGCCAGTCCCGTGCTGCATCGTCAACGACTGCTCTTGAGGCAGCTCCGGTCGTCGGTGGATTCGCAGGTGGTCCTCACCTCGGACTGGGACACGTATGTCGAGGATCTTGTCGCGGGGGACGACACCCGCGAGGTGCTGTAAGAGCTCGCCCCAGGCGTGGAGCCTCGTGAGGTTCACGGCCGTGGCCACCGCTTCGGGGTGCTGCCGCACGGGGAGGGGCCGGCGCAGGGCCCCAGGTGGGCCGAAGACAATCCAGGAGGGCCCCGAGAGGACCCCCAAGGTGGCTCAAAATGTCCTCGGAGGGCACTCGAAGGAGCACGACACGGAGCAGGAGGTCCAAGGAGACCCCAAGACGCCCCGACATGAGCCCAGCAGTGGGCCCACACGGCCTCGGGAGGGCTCCAGGGCGGCCCAGGAGGCCCCCCAGAGCGGTCCCAAGGTTTCCCAAGATGGAGGCCTGGGCTTCTCCCAAGACGGCTCCAAAAACAGACGCCAAAGGCCCCCAGTGCCGAATGTCCAGCAGGCGTCCGAGAGGCTTCAAGGCGACCACTGGAAGGCTGGAGGGCGCGGAGGATTTTCGATAATGCCCCCCTTGGAGGCCCTGCCAGTGCGACCCAGACAGGTTTTCGTGACTTCGTTGCGCCTTGGCTTGGCCTCAGATGCTCGGCCAGGAAGGGAGGGAGCGGCTTTCGATATTCCGTGGTGTGGCCCTGGCAGCGCGTACTTCGGAGCCAGACTTGGGCACAGCTCTTCGTTGCTAAGCTCCTCCTCCAGTCTTCGGGTGGATCCAAGGAAGCGCAAGAAGCGTCGAATAAACCCCAAGACTCCCCGACACGTCACCGGGATCCCAAAAGTTCATTAACGCAGGCCCCGCTACCACCCCCGAAAAACCTCCAGAATCGTTCTTTGCACTCCTCATTGGCAACTTGCGATGCGAGTTCCTTGGGCGGGACCAGAACCTGAGCGCGCGCGATGCGCGCGCGTGCCTATATAAAACAGATACATACACACACGCACACACACATATATATATATATGTATATATATATATTCATACATACATATATGCATGCATGCATGCATACATACATACGTACGTACATGCATGCATGCATGCATGCATGCACATTTGTATTTATACATGTACACATATATATATGTACACATATATATATGTACACACAGAGAGATAGAAGGGCATAGGGAAAAAGAGACAGAGACAGAAAGGCAGGCAAATTGGCAAACATGTATCAACAATCAAAGAGAGGGTGAGTGATGTAGAGCAGATTTTAAGGTAGGGGGGCCTTCCTGGAGGCTTGCGGAGGCGTCTGCGGCTTCAAAGGCGGTTGCAGCAACAGCTCCAGCATGCGCTTTCAGTCTGGTTCACATGTCGGACCTTCCTTCTCGCACCGTGAGAGCGGCACAGGTAGTCAGGTAGTGGCGGTCAGCTCTCATGGGGGCCACCCTGTCCCGTCCGATCTCTGGCTGTCCCAAGCGTCGGCCCCATCCTCTTCCTCCGCTGTCTCGCTGCCTACCTAGATTGCCCTGCTCCGCTTGCTGTGCCTGCGCGCCAGCCAGCGAAGAGATGCCAAGGCGACGCAGCTGGGGCGTTACGTGCTGGACGTCAACGGCGCTGGGCGTCAAGTGCTCGTCCCGTACGAGGACCCGCGGCAGGGGCGCGGGGGCCGGGAGTCGAGGGCCCACCATGAATCTTCTTCTTCTCCCTCAAGCTTTTAGCCGGTACGATCGAAATCGGTACGGAAAGGATGGTCGCGAAGACCCACGGCGGTGCTTGTCCATTTTGAACTGGATGTGTGGTCGGTCTCGTCGCGGGCATGGTCGATTTGAGGCACAAGTTCGCCTGCCCAGCAGCGGCCTTTGTCGGTTTGGGACTCTGGACAACATGTGTTGTTGGGCATTGTACCGATGTTTTCCGTATCCATTGCGGGCGTTCAAATCTATATTGCGAAGGCTTTACGGCCAGTGCCGCCGACCTTGAAGACGACGACGATGAAAACGAGCGGGTGGGGGTAGGAGGCGGAGGAGGAGGAGGAGGAGTGGGGGGGAAAGAGGAAGGGTGGGGGGAGGCGGATGAGGGAGGAGGAGGGGGGGGGGGACGTTTAAATCTATATTTTATGTCCCCTTCCCCGTCTCATGGAGGGGCGGGTCGTTCTTCAATATGATTATCGCGCAGCGCCGCGCATGCTTGCTTCTCACACTTGTCCGTAGGGGCTTCGCCATCTGCCGCTGTCCCCCTCTCTATAAGCATACGACATGCCAGAGCTATGCTGAAATGCGTGGGGGCCAACTTGAAGCAATACTGGAACCTCACGCGATGACGGCTGGCAATCGTGGCGTCGTATACCAGGGATCGTGACCTCGGGAGCGCGAGCCTGGCGTTATTTACAAAGTAGCTTCGCCTCGGGGGCGCGGATCTGGCGCAACACTTGAGGATTGTGGTGTCCCTGGGCGCGAGTGCGGGTTGGTGTGCAAGGGATTTGCGCTCGGGATCGCGAAACCATAACGCAATTCGCAAGGGGCCGTGGCCTCGGGAGGTGTATGAGGGATCGTCGCCGCGGGTGCGCGAACCTGGCGTGATTCACGAGGGTTGTGGTCCCGGGGGCACGAATCCAGGCTGGTGCACGAGGGGTTCGGGCCTCGGGTGCGCGAAGCTAGCTGGCAGCAGCCGGCGCAATCTGCAGGGGATTGGGTGGCCTCGGGGGCGCGATGTTGGTGCCATCTGCCAGAGGATGTGGCCTCGAGCGCGAGTCCTGCACGGGTCAACGCGCAACACACAACACACACACACACACACGGCTCACGCGCAACACACACATTCACACACACACAACACACACACAACACACACACAACACACACAACACACAACACAACACACACACATACACACGCAAACCGTGGACTGATTCTTCCACCCCCAGAAGCCGACCAGTGGTTGCCCTCCGACCCAGCCCGGGCTGCCTGGACATCCGTGGGCTGACAGGAAGATCGGTTGAGAACGCTAGTCTCGACCCGACGCTGCGGCGCCAGGAGCAGAGCGTGGGGCGGTGGGGATGCTGGACGCGCTATATCTGGGATGTCTGAGTGAGTCACGGGGGTCACGACCTATCCCTAGCGACAAAAGCACACCTCGGGCCAGGCACCAAACCCCCTGACCTCACGTGCGTCTGCTCCTAGACAGGTTGCACGGAGCCATACCCATAGCCAGGGTCCACGTAATCCAAAGACCGATATTTCCCCGCAAAGATGTGCATCCCTTGTAGCACTGGCGCGTCTCAACCCGTGAAGGGCACGAAACCCATACACAACACGCACATTGTTTACGCGCTCGATCGTGCACTTACCAAGACCAGCAACAGGCACAACACACATGAAACGCATTGTAAGCACACACATGATAGGTAGCTCCACGAACAAATGCTGCGTGACCCCGCCGCCCCGTCGCCAACATGGTACTGGTACTGGTACTGTTGGAGGGTGTGCACGCCCGGACAGCGGCCCTTGTCGACCTACCAAAAAAAAACGCGCACCACACCGACACGACGTATGCGCCAAGAGGGGGGAAGGGAGGCAGGAGGAGGGAGGAGCGAGGAACGAGGAGAGCAGGAGGGGAAGGAGAGAGGGAAGGGGGACGGCGGAGGCAAACGAGGCTGATGTCTTGCATCGAAGCACAAGGACACCCCCAAACACGTTACTGACTGCCCAGGGTCCAAATGACGGGGCGGTGCGGAAGCGGTGCGAATCTCAATTTCGGCTGGGGAAAAGCTTAAAAAGCACTCATCATCTGGACACAAAGCGTGATGAAGCTCTGACGCCCTCCATCCGTGCAATACTTGGCACACGTCGTCTATCCGCGTAATCCCTGGCACGCGCCACAGAGGGAGGAGACTCATCTTTGCACTGGGGCCAGAAGCCTCCCCTTCGAGCCCGTAGAATCTCAGAGTGGATGGAAGATTGTGGATTCGCACATCGAGCCACGCGCACACACCACACACAACGGCGCACACGCTGTGTGCACATTGCGTCACAGGCACGCACGCACAGTGCACACTGCGTCACATCGGGCCACGCGCATGCCACGCACGCAAAGGCACGCACGCACAGTGCACACTGCGTCTTCCTTGCGGGATCTCCACCCTAACGACGTCCCCACTAATGCGGATCGCAGTAGGCCTGGTCCCTCCTCGGATGCATCACGCGCCAACAGGGTACAATACCCCCACCCAAAGAGGCTTGGTGCGAGACTGGACCCCGGCACAACGGGTGGCCCGAAGGCAAAGGCGGCGGTGGCAACCAAGCAAGAGCGCTGGCTCCCTCGGCTCGCAGCACAGCGACCGACCCAGCCAGAGCACCCCTCCACCCAACAGCTCGTTTGTCGCTGGCGTCCCTGGTACCCTGGCCCGGACTTGCAAGGTCGACACCTGAGGACCCGCAAAAGACACCCGAAAGAAGCCAGGCCCCGGAACACTCCGCTGGGGTGCGGTGGTCAGGCGCCCCCAGCGCAAACGACTAGTGTGAGACCAGGGGGGACGTCTGGAGACGTCAACCACCCCTGGCCCAGGGACTGTCGAGTAATGACCTCCGCCCTGACAGAAGCCTAGCACGAAACAAAAGAAGAACACGGACACCAATGGCGCAATATGCACAGCGGACCAGAGGTCCATCAGCTGCGCAGTGCATGGGTTTGTCGCGTCGGCTCTCTCGCAAAACACACCTACCGTTCAATCGACCCCGCCCCCCAGACCCAGCGGCCTGGGCATCCATGGGTCGACAAAAAAATCGCTTGACGAAGGACCCAGCCGTATGCAGTTGCGAGTACCGCGAGGGAGATGCAGCTGCGAGTACCGCGGGGGAGATGAGACGAAGGAGGGGGGCGCGCGAACACCGAGCAGCGCACGCGGTATAGTCTTCTGCCACGAGGCGTGTGAAGGGTGTGCCGGCGGACCAATGCGAACGTCGCTGTTGGGGCTTTCTGTGGAGTTCCATCCAGAGCCACGAGGCGTGGGAGGCATGTGCCGAAATGGCGCGGCGGTGCCATGCGAACTTTCCCACTGGGGTCCCAGGGGGAGCTCCTGTTACGGGACCACGAGACGTGCGAGGAGTGTGCCGAAATTGGGCGGCGGTGCAATGCGAACGTTCCCACCGGGGCCTTCGGTTGAGCTCCCTCTGGGGCCATGGAGCGTGTGAGCGGCGTGCCGAAATTGGGCGGCGGTGCCATGCGAACTTTCCCACTCGGGCCTTGGGTGGAGCTCACTATGGGCCCACGAAGCGTGTGAGGGTGTGCTGAAATGGGGCGGCGGTGTCATGCGAATTTTCCCACAGAGTCCTCCACGAAACGTGTGAGGGGTGTTCCGAAATGGTGCGGCGATGCCATGCGAACCTTTCCGCTGGGGCCCACGTGGAGCTCCCTATGGGGCCACGAAGCGTGTGAGGAGTGTGCCGAAATGGGGCGGCGGTGCCATGCGAACGCAATCATTGGGGCCTCAGGTAGGACTCACCGGGGCTACGAGACGTGTGAGGGGTGTACCGAAATCGGGGTGGAAACGCATGCGACCGCAGCCAATGGGGCCTTCGGTGGATGTGCCACAAAACGTATGAGGGGTGTGCCGACATGGGGGTGGGGAGGAGGGAGGAGCGGGAGGAGGGCGGGGGAGGAGGAGGAAAGGAGGAGAAGGGAACGCGGGGCGCGGTCTCTTCAAAACGAGGACCCAACACAACAGGATGGCTGGGAAAACGATGCCCGTTCCTGGGGTGACGCAGAAGCTCCTGTCCGGATCGGCGGTTCGTAGACGCGCTGGTCAGGATGGCTAGTCTCGACCCGACGCCACGGCCGCAGGGCGTTGGGCGGTGAGGATCACGGGCGCGCCCCAGTCCGGGAGGCCTGAATGAATCCACGCGGCCACCTACACCCAACGACGCAGCACGTGTCAGGTCAGGCACCGAAGCCTCCGACCTGGCCATATAATCAGCAGGACCCGCAGAGCACCTAGATGGACCTTCCGGCCTGGCGCGCAAGCCAGCTTGGCCCCGCTCCAGCCAGAGCGGTTTGTGCAAAAATTGCTGTAGTTATCTTGAGGGGGCCGGGAGGAGCCCACCCAAGCTTTCCCGCCCTCGAAACTTCTATCCTCTCTCTCCCCCGCCACCCCTCCAGGAACCTCGATGACGTCGCTCACCCGGCAAGGGCAGCCAGCGACGTGACCCTTGCTAGTGCCCGCGCAGCGTAGCGATCAGTATCGGCGTGTGTCTAGGTCGAAAACCCAGCAAACCTGGCATATTCCAGTACATTCCAGCTTAATCCTGATTGAGCCTATTTGATCGGGTGTAATCCTGGGCCTCATCCAACCAAGTCCAGCCCAGTGGCCCCTCAATCGGGCCTGACAGCCACTGATCGTTCTCGCGAAGGCCTCCTGGGAATTGCCTCCAAACCCAGACATCCGATGTTTTTTATTGTTTCAAGACGGGGACCCTGGAGCTCCCGATCTCTTCCCCAGCGCCAGCTCTGCCAGCCGAGCCATCTCCTGACGGCCCCGAGGCCCAGAGAGTCAGGAGGGGGAAAACCACACAGACACAAGTCATCGTCGACTCGCAGGGAAGTACGGGAAGTGGGGGGAAGACGAACACCCAGAAAAGATTCACAAATAGGGGGAATCCTGGGATTTGCGTGTGTA